GTACACTGGAGGGGGCGGGTTCGAATCCAGCCCAGGCCGGCCAAACAACAATGACAACTACAACCAAAAAATAGCGGGGCGTTGTGGAGGGGGCCTGTGGTCCCAGCTACTTGGGAGGCTGAGGCAACAGAATCACTTGAGCCCAAGAGTTTGAGGTTGCTGTGAGCTATGACACCACAACATTCTATCAAGGACAATAAAGTGAGACTATCACAAAAAATAAATAAATAAAAAGGCCCAGTGCCTATAGCTCAAGCGGCTAAGGCACCAGCCACAAACACCAGAGCTGGCAGGTTCAAATCCAGCCCAGGCCTACCAAACAGTGACAACTACAACCAAAAAATAGCCGGGCGTTGTGGTGGTCACCTGTAGTCCCAGCTACTTAGGAGGCTGAGACAAGAGAATCACTTAAACCCAAGAGTTGGAGGTTGTTATGAGCTGTGACGTCACAGCACTCTACCCAGGGCGACAGCTTGAGGCTCTGTCTCCAAAAACAAAAAAATAAATAAATAAAACTAGGACCATTAGACCAGATGGCTGGAGCTTAAAAGGGGTCAGTACACATTGCTACTAACTGCACAGAAATCACGAAGGGCTAATACTGCCTTCCTAGGAGCTATGAACAAGCCAGGAGATCACTGACTTGAGGGTATCAATGGCAGCTGCTAGACCCCCCAATCATTTTTAGTTATCCCAACAACTGGTACACCCTGATATTTAGTAGGCAGAAATCAAAAATGCAGAATGTCCCACAATGCAAGAGACCAACAAACACAAAATGCCAATAGCCATGCCCTTGAGAAACACTGGGAAGGAAACAGGATTCATCTCCCATCCCATCAGTTTCACCAGCTTCTGTCTCAATCCCTACACCAGGTAGTGTGGGGTAGAGAGTCATAAATGAAACTGAGCTATCCCAATGCAGATGGGAAGGACAGCGGTATTCAGTGAGAGAAATCTTAAGCTACAATGTGCCTCTTGCAGGCTCTTTTAACAAACCTAATCGCCCCTGTATCAACTAGACATATCTCACCCTTTTTGTACTGAATGCTTCAAAATAAATCCAAGTATTAGCTAGAAAGAAGGGAGGCACTTACCAATCCGCCCTATCTTCATACCAGAGCGGGCCAGGGCTCGGAGGGCTGATTGGGCCCCTGGTCCGGGGGTCTTGGTCCTAGGAAATAAAGGTTTGAGAAAAGTCACTGGCCAAGTCAATGGGCGTCCTAAAATCCCACAACTCTCTAATTAGGTATCTACAAACTTTCTGTAAAGGAGCAGACAATACATTTTTTAGGCTAAGCGGGCCACTGTTTTTTGTTGCATATTTTATCTAGCATGTTCCCCACTCAACAGAGTCATCTATTCTGTATTTCTTGTCTCCTCCCCCAGCCCCCGGACTAAAAGTCTACATCCTTACCTTGTCCTACAAGACAGAGCAAGACTCCACCCCTGACTCTCTCTGATTACTCCTGATGCCACTCTTTCCTTCACATGTACCCAGATTCATTCTCATAACTCTAGCTGGAATGTTCTCCCCTTGTCTCTTCTTCATTAGAAGGATTCCTACCTCCTCATTCAGACCTTACTTTAAATTATATTCTATCACTTTTGTTTCCTGGCATCTGCCACAAATGAAAACCACATATCCCAGCCACACCACACTATTGGGTGGCACCTGTGGCTCAAAGGAGTAGGGCGCTGGCCCCATATGCCAGAGGTGATGGGTTCAAACCCAGCCCCGGCCAAAAACTGCAAAAAACACCCCATAAACTTCTTAGGGGTGGCACCTGTGGCTCAAAGGGGTAGGGCACTGGCCTCATATGCCAGAGGTAGCGGGTTCAAACCCAGCCCCAGCCAAAAACTGAAAAGAAAAAAAAAAAAAAGACACATTTAACCACACTACACTATTGTTTAAATTCGACTGTCCCGGCTCGGCGCCTGTGGCTCAAGTGGCTAAGGCGCCAGCCACATACACCTAAGGTGGCAGGTTCGAATCCCCAGCCTGGGCCCGCCAAACAACAATGATGGCTGCAACCAAAAAATGGCCAGGCGTTGTGGCGGGCGCCTGTAGTCCCAGCTACTTGGGAGGCTGAGGCAGGAGACTCGCTTGAGCCCAGGAGTTGGAGGTTGCTGTGAGCATGATGCCACGGTACTCTACCCAGGGGGATAGCTTGAGGCTCCGTCTAAAAAAAAAAAAAAATTCGACTGTCCCACCAGCCTAGGTTCTTCATTAAGAGGGTAGAGGCAGTCTAGCCTCTAGGTTTCCCTATCACTCTCTTCTAGTACCTAGAAAACACATAGCACCCGGTATAGAGTGGGTTCTCCATAAACAGAGTAAGTTGCAAGGGCAGGGGCATGCAGGAGCCAATTATTAAATATGTATACGACTACAATTATCTTGTTCAGGCTGGGTGCAGTGACACATGCCTGTAAATCTTAACACCCTGGGAGGCTGAGGAGGGTGGATCTCCTGAGCTCAGGTGTTCAAGACCTGCCTCAGCAAGAGTGAGGCCCCCATTTCTAAAAATAGCCAGGTATTATGGTGGGTGCCTGTAGTCCCAGCTACTTGGGAGGCTGAGGCAAGAGGATCACTTGAACCCAAGAGTTTGAGGTTGCTGTGAGCTGAGGCCACAGTACTCTGCCAAGGGCAAAAAATGAGACTGTCTCAAATAAATAAATAAATAGGGCGGTGACTGTGGCTCAAGGAGTAGGGTGCCGGCCCCATATACTGGAGGTGGAGGGTTCGAACCCAGCCCCAGTCAAAAAGTAAATAAATAAATACATCTTGTTCAAGTCATAGTAACAAACAAAACCCACCCAAGCTCCATAATCTTACCACCACCCACCCCCAACATGACACACCTATTTCCTCCGGTAGCTCGAAGTTTGATGTGTAGAGCAGTGATGCCCAGCTCCTTGCACCTCTGAGCCACATCCTGGGCAGCCAACATGGCAGCATATGGTGAGGATTCATCTCGGTCAGCCTTTACCTTCATTCCACCAGTCACTCGGCAGATGGTTTCTCTGGGGACAGACAAAAGCACAGGGTCATTTCTTCCTTGTCCAACAAGGGTTCACTGAGTTTCATGTCCTAATGAGTAAACAGCAACACAGCTCAGGTATGGCAGGTGATGAACAACTTAAACATGAATACTCATCCCAAACAAGACCACCACGGGATCTGCCTTCATGGGGTTCATGGTCTAGCAAGGTGAATATAGCTAAACTTCATACTAACACCTCAGATACTATCACACTATAAGAATAGATTTAACGGATTCTGGGAAGATGGCCAACTGGTAGCAACCCTGGTCAGAGGCTCCTGAGCAAAGGAAGAAAAACTGGTTGGAATCAGAATCTATGAAGCCAAAGACGGGGAGCTGAGCCCAGAAAGAAGTTCGGCAAGCTATAAATCCAAGGAAGATCATTTAAGAACATAAAATACAGGTCATGGAAGAAGCCCAAGTGCCCATCGATCCACGAATGGATCAACAAACTGTGGTATATGTACACTATGGAATACTATGCAGCCATAAAGAAAGATGGAGACTTTACGTCCTTCATGTTCACATGGATGGAGCTGGAAAATGTTCTTCTTAGCAAAGTATCACAGGAATGGAAGAAAAAGTATCCAATGTACACACACCTATTATGAAATTAATTTAAACCTTTTTATATGAAAGCTATAACCTAGTAACAACCTAAGAATATGGGGAGGGTGGAGGGAGGGGGGAGAGGGTGGAGGCAGAGGGATTCGAGGGTTCACTTCTGTGGTTCATCTTGCAAGGGTACAAGTGAATCTTTCTATGACTAGAATATGAATGTTTTGACATAACTAAGAAAGTTACATGAAGGCTATGTTAACCAGTTTGATGGAAGTGTCTTGGATTGTGTGTGAAAACACCCCACTGTACCCCCAAAGTTCATCAATGTACACAGTTATCATTCAATTTTTAAAAAAATAAATAAATAAATAAAAAGAATAGATTTAACTGCTAGGAAATCACCTTATTTGCAAACTAAATGAGCAGACCCATTTTCTCGCCAAAACAGTAATTCTTCAGAAAGAACCCTCTACACTGCTTCCCAGTCCCAGGGTCCTTTCTCCCCTCAGCCTCTTTGCTAGCTGGGTTTTGTGCCTCTCATCCCAGGTATACTCACTTGCCGGAAAGATCAGTGACATGAACAAAGGTGTCATTGAAGGATGCAAAGATGTGGCACACACCAAATACATTCTCTCCTTCAGCCACCTGAGGTCCAAGGCTTATGACTTGTTCTTCCTTCTTTTCCTTCCCCTTTCGAGGTGCCATTTCTGAAGGAAAAAAAGAACTCCAATGTTAACAGATAAAAAGTTCCCAGAACCTTTTCCCTGGTGAAGAAACCCCAAGTTGTGCTCCTGTGTCACCCAAGCCTATGCTATACTCTCTCATCTCTCCCTATCACTAAAGCATCTCTCTCTATACTTGGGGAATGTCTCCTGGTGGTTAAAAAGCAACACACTATGAAACTACCAAAAGCACAGTTCACAATACCTACAGGACAGAAAGTTGTGGTTCTAGCAGCAGATCATAAGCATCCCTACAATTTTCACCTAGTGGGCCTCCAAATACAGAAAACACACTGGCTTAGGTCTCTAGAGGTATCTGAAATCAAATAAGCAAACTTGGGGAAACCAATTCCCCTCTCTGTGTCTTACTGTTTCCAATAGATAAGCTAAAAGATTTTTGATCATTTGTTCTGGGTGACAAAGCAAGTCAGAGCAGAAATCAGAACCAGGTTAGGGGATTCTCAGTCCACACACAATACTTCCAATAACAGAAGTGCTGGCTCAGCACTTGTGGCTCAAGTGGCTAAGGCGCCAGCCATATACACCTAAGGTGGCGGGTTCGAATCCAGCCCAGGCCACCAAACAATGATGGCTGCAACCAAAAAAAATAGCTGGGCGTTGTGGCAGGCGCCTGTGGTCCCAGCTGCTTGGGAGGCGGAGGCAGGAGACTCACTTGAGCCCAGGAGTTGGAGGTTGCTGTGAGC